ATAAAAAAGGGAGGAAAAGGAAGTGTCGACAAAGACTCAAAAGTCAGCGATCCAGCGATTATTAAACAAGAGCACTACCCATTGCGCCATGGGACTCATTGAAACTTGTTCAACGTTCAACATACATCGGAATTTTTCAAAGTCGATTTTCTCGATAATGGCTAAAAAGTGCATCTTACTGCTTGGCCAAAGTAATGTCTGAGTAATACACTTCACCATAAGTTTCAAATTTTTCTAAATTCCGAACGTCTGAATTTAGAACTCCTCTCCTTGTGAGTTTATGAAATTATTGTAAGATTAAAGAGAAAGATTTATATCGATCTGCAAATTGCGTACATACGAATGCTGAGCGAAGGCTCGGAATGGTAAACAAAGCAGTAATTGTGTCTAGCAGTAGATGTTCGATCTTGAGTTGGCTCTGGAATATATTATACACAATGCGACAAATATGTTCCCGGATACGAACCACATCTCAGCAACCAGTGGCGACATCTGTGCGTTCAAACATGCATTTTAAAGGTTGAACATTTTGCTATCATCTATCAAAGTTTCATTCATTTTGGTTGACATATAACGAAGATATGACAGTTCATGTTAAACAAGATTTTGGTCGAGGTAGAAATTTTAATATGGAACAAAGAGCAGTGATTAAATTTAACGCAAAACTTGGTAAAAGTGCATCAGAAACATTCCGATCGATGCAACAAGTTTATGGCAGTCAATGTCTAGGTCGTACAGCTGTTTTTTGAGTGGCATAAGCGTTTTTTGGAAGGCAGAGAGATCCTTGAAGATGACAAAAAATCAGGACGGCCAATTTTGGTTCGAACACCCGAAATGATCGAAAAAGTACGTGATTTTGTTGCAAATGATCGCAATGCATCACTAAAAATGATGGAGGAAGCTTTAAATATCAGTAGAGAAATGATTCGAACCATATTACATGAAGATTTGAGTAAAACGAGGTTTGTGCGAAGTTTGTTCCACACACATTAAGAAGCGATCAAAAATTAGCGAGAATCAATTATTCCAGAGATATCGTTGCAGCCGCAGAAAATAATCCAAACTTCCTAAAATCAATTGTTACGGGTGATGAAACATGATGCTTTCAATATGATCCAGAAACTAAGCGTCAAAGTGCGGAATGGAAGTCAGAAAATTCACCACAAGCAAAAAAAGTACGAAAAGTTCCATCAAAAATCAAGACAATGCTCATCACATTCTTTGATAGCAAAGGTATTATCCACAAAGAATTTGTTCCAACTGGCCAAACAATTACTGGTGCATATTATCTCGAAGTTTTAAAGCGATTGATGGGCAGAATTCATCGTATTCGCCCCGAATATCGTGATCCAGAAAATTGGTCTTTGTTGCATGGTAATGCACCGAGTCACATTTCATTGATTGTCCGTCAATGTTTGGCTCGAAATCGTGTCTCTGTGTTAAATCATTCACCGTATTCATCTGATTTGGCTCCCTTTTCATTATTCCCAAAATTGAAATTGAAATTGAAAGGACGTTTTTTTGATGACATTCCGATCATCCAATCAGCTTCTACACAGGCACTAGAGGCAATTTCACAAACTGAGCTAGAACATTTGAATCACTATTGAATCGCTGTAACAAGTATATTGAAGCCAGAGGAGAATATTTTGAATAATAAAACCAAAAAATATGCATATTGTTGTTTCAATTATGATTTTCAGGCCCTGTCCGGGAATATATTTGTCGCACTGTGTATGACTTTACTCAAAGCATCAGGCTTTCTCGGACGCCAACAACAACTTCTGGCGGAGGCACAATATAGCAGAAAATTTAAATTGAAATTTGTTCGGATTTTGGTGACGCACTCTGTATGTGCTCGATACATTGTTCAAGTTCAAGCATAAAAAGTATATTAGATTATACACAAACACTTTTCACATAAAGATAATTTCACATTGTCAATATCATATATTTTAATAAGTTCAATGAGTTCACAAGGTCCAGTATCATTACTTTTGATGGCGAAGATGACTGCACTAATCGCTGGATATCTACCCGTTTTTCGATTTTTTTACATGAAAAATTTTTTTATTAAAATTAAATTTTTTCATTTTATACAGTTACTTCTTTAATTTTTCGTGATAACATTTAAATTAAGCAAGGTAATTTTGTGATAATGCTTAGTATTATATATTATTTTGAAGGAGAATTAAATAACCACTACTTTAGTTGGAAGAGAAAATGTCTTTGAATAAATTATGATATAATAATTTCATTTAAAAGGAATTTAAACCATTTAGATTGGAATAGGAAGATCCTTCAATAAGATATACGTATTCATTTATATTTTATTATATAAAAATTAAAGATAGTACTAGTTGAATTAAGTAAATAATAAAGATAGTATCACTTGGATTTTAATTTTTATTTTGATAGTAGAATTTAACTGAGCGCCACAGTTGATATCAAATTTTTTATACAAATGACATATCATTAGATTAATATTCATTATTTATTTAATTTGGCATGGTATAAAATAATGGGATTTAACTTGGCGCCAGTTCTTGATATCAAATTATAGGAATGATATATATCATTAAATTTAATATTATTTATTTAATTTGATATCCAAATTACATGGAATTTAACTTGACGCCAATTTTGTTGATATCAAATCTTTTATACGAATGATACATATCATTAAAGTTAAATAAATAACAAGAGATAATAATCATTTGTGTTTTATTTTTTGATTTGATAGAATTTAACTTGATTGATTAAGATTGTAGTATCTGGGTTTTAATTTTTCATTTGATACATTAATTTTTTTCGAAGAGTAATCATTTTTGATAGAGAATTAAAGTTGCCATTACTTGGATTGGATTTTCAATAAGAATATCCTTGAAAAAAAATTAAAACTACTATTAACTTGGGTTGGATACTAGTATTATGTACAAAAGACCGATTTCATCAACTCGATTAAGTCGAATCGGTGATTAACTATCAACCATAAGTGATCATTTCTACTAAATAGCAAACACGATGAAACCTAAATGATTCTTTACGAAAAACATGCACGCTTAGTGCTTTTTTTACTTTTTTTTTAAAAAAAAGGCAAGTTTGTACAAATAACAAGCAACAGTACCATTTGTATTTTACTTTTTAATTTGTAAAAATATAGTGCTAATATTGCAGTACATAACTACTGGACATATACAGAAATTTCAAAATGTAATGTTAATGTAAAATATCCTTTAATGTGTTTGTATGATATTGTATCTAACATAAATGTAAAAAAATATATTTGATATATTACAAAGGAGCACAATATACAGTCCTGCAATTTGAAACACAAAGCCATATAAATCTTCGGTCGATACCAGGGCGTCCAAGACGCATAACGATCAACAATTATTAAACTTGCATTTCAGTTCAAGAGTCCGGATTCTGTGTAGTTATTATTATTGAGTTAAATAATAATATTACTTTTAATTTTTGAATTTTTAATAATAATAAAAATGTTATTTTTGAAATTATAAATTTATAAAACGAAAATTTAGCATTTACTTTATTATTACTTATTACGATATATTTTATGGTATCCGAAGAATTTTCCGAAATATTTTATAGTATCTTAAGAATTTTCCGCTGCTCACAAATATATTTTTTTCATTTCATCATATATAAGACGATTCTGCATCACTTTAACAGTTATCATAACCCATTATAACTGCTGATTATAGGCGTTCAGAGTTGATGGTTTGTTTTGTCAGAATTTTTGCGCCGAAAATTATCGAATTAAAAAGTGTTGCAACTTTTTAGTAACTGACTGTACACTGATAGTACACACGGATATGCAACTTCCGTTTTTGCCTCAATTTGATGGACCAATCATCAATCGTTACCCTATTGGCCGTACTCTTATTATAGGTACTATAACTCGGGATGCGTTCCAAAACTTGATTCTGTCAACTCCGAGTATCTTTTATCTTTATTTGGTGACCAACAAAGATAAAATGATACTCGAATTGAAAGAATTAAATTTTGGAACGCAACCCCGATCAGGAATCTGAACTCAGCCTAGTGTAAACATCTGTGATCTACAATTTACGTTACGTATACTGTACATTTTCAGCAAATTTTGGAACATAAGCCTTTGTATGATTAAGCGGGAAGCATAGACTCTTGCGTAACGTATAAAACATGACGAATAAGAAAATCAACCAATTAGAGTCCTTATTTCACGGAAAGGAAGGAATAAAGGACTTTGATTCATTTTCTTATGCCTCATGTATTATGCATTATGTAAGAGTCTGTGCTACTGAACTATATATACACTGGAATGGGCATCGAGAATGATTAGTGGCCATAATTGATCAGCCGCCATTTTAGTTGGGACGATATTTGAACGAATCAGAAGCGTTCGCGCGTGTGCTGCGATCGATGTATCGATCGATGTACTATTGATGTATAGAAATCTATATGGACATGTATGAATGATATGTAAACAAAAATAATGTCACTTCAATTTTATTAGTACATTCAATAAAATAACATTAATAATTTTTCATACTCTACATTTCGTTAACACATGTGCAGGAATTGATACATTTAATACAAAAATTCGTACCTATGAAATAAAATGTCCTTTTCTACCCACACCTAACACACACAGCATTTCATGTTGATGCTTTGCACATTTTGCAGTCATGCGATTTTATAATCTTTCAAAGTAATCTTTCAAATATAATTCAACACACACACACACACACACACACACACACACACACACACAATGATCTTGCTGCAAATGCGTCTTATTAAAGAATATTAAACGTAAGTGCGCATGAGCACCAGGAAGCTTCTGATTCGCTCTTATATGACCAAATTAAAATGGCGCTGATCAATTGATGCGATTTTCTATGCTTCACAGTGGAGATGCCCATTCCAGTGTATATATAGTAGTTCAGTGGTTGTGTTCTCCGCTTTAGTAAGTCTAATATGGCGGACTTTTGCGCTACTTTTATTAATATAGAGTTTTAGCCGCGAGTGGTCACGACTCGCGAGCAATCCATCTGATCAAAGTACAACGAAGTACCGGACAGTACCGGATTATATCCATGCTTACGTCGATCAATATCGATCTCCGACGCTCGTCTTGCTAGATTCCACGTTTGAAAGGGACGATCGATCGCATTAACAAACTTGAAAGTTGCAGGTTGGATGATTGCCAAAGCATCTTGGTGTTGTGATCTTGTGACTCATCCCGAACATATATACATACGTCCATACTATCCAATGCGTGACATGTCGCGCCTGCTTCATTAAAGTGGATACGGTCAACGCGATGCTACAAATGCTTTCAAGCAATTTTTGATTGGTCAATTTGTAAAATTCTTTTTTTCTAATTGGTCAACCAAACGCTTCAAAGCATTTGTAGTGAGACTTTGACCGCAGTTAATGTCACACGTTTAGGAAAATTCGTAAATAAAGAGTTTGTCAGGTAAAGAGACGGATAGAGACGTATGTTCGTGTGTATCTCCCATTGTGTACTGTACCCGTGTACCGTGCGCGTACGTAGAGAATAGAAATCTGATGTGACACGTACAATAGGCAAACATCCGTAAGCAGCTGTCGCTCTCGCTATCGTCGCAGCCAGGGCCAGCACACACGTTTGTATGCGTACGTCGAGCCGTGAGCGAGGCGCTTCGGAACACTCTGCTCGGATCTCTTTTGCATGGTAAGCGGATGTTAGGTTAGAATCCACCAACTATCATTAACCTTCGTTAATGGTTAACCTCGCGCTTGTGACAACTGACAAGTATCATTGTTTCGTTATCGGTTTCGTCATTGATTGCTAGCTGTCATCAACCGATCGCGATCTTATCGCTGCTCTCGTGAGCAGGAAGTGCATCTTCGTTTCTTCTTGGAGTTCTTGGAGACAACCTCGTTCTCGTCTCTTTGTTTCGCTTGGTCATTCTGATCAGGTGATGCTCGATGGACAACTCTTGAGGTTAAATTGTCTCAGCACAGATGACCTTTCTCTCCTTTGCTGTTTCTCACTTTGTCACACTCCTTTCCTGCAGTCTCCCTGAACTCGAAAAGGAAATTTCACTATTATCGTTTCTATTGCGACTGGATACTAATGGAATTCTATTAAAACTCTACAAACTAACAATAACATTACTTCAATATTATAATTAATTAACACTCAATGATATAAATATGATACAATATTTGTAAGCATGATATTTTGACTCTTTAAGTTAAGAAATCTAAAGAGCTATTGAGAAAAAGAAGAGAACATTGTTCTTATGTAACAGTTATATTGAATAGTAAATTTTACAACATTAATATTATATTATTATTATTTGGTATTTGGTGACTATATAGGTACATTACCAGGAAATTATAACATTGATATAATGTTATGTTAATTTGGGTTCAGTGGAACAACTATAGTTCGAGAGTCATTTGAATTATGTAGAAATCCAAAAGGTAAATATATTTGTGTCATGTATGATAGCTAGTCAGTTCTTATATTTAAGACTGGCTTAAGTATGTTAAGATGTCAATTCAATGTTTTATCAATTCAGTCAGGAATCAATTGTATTCTTATCAATCCTTGTTAGTAATCGGTACTTATTTCAAGATCTCTTAAGGGATTTTATGTAATATTTTAAGATACTAATCCTTAATACACACTTTTGGGCTATTCAATTTGTGTCTTGTGCATTTCTTTTTTTTGAAATACTAAGAGCCTGATCAAATACCGATCTCTTTTATTTCTAAAAAAAGTTTGGCGTCTAGAGAACAAGTTTATTGTCAGCTTCAATTCGTGAGTATCCTTTAATTAGAATAATTCCAAAGTTCATCTCTGGATCACAAATGATCATTCATCGTGTATACAGAGGCTGTGTTCTAAAATTCATTGCCAGTGCTGAAAATGTATAGTATACGTAACGTAAACTGTAGATTTTCAGCGCTGGCAGTGAATTTTGGAACACAGCCAGAGTGTACATTTTTCGTTACTAAAAAAATTTTTATTTTTTTCTTTATTACTAATTCTCATTTGTATTGCAGAATATTTAGCGAATTATAAAAAAGAATTTAACCCTCGAACAATATATTAACCCTTAATAAACACAATAGTTTTTGGCACTCTTATGTTAAATATTGTCTGTAATGTTATAAAGAACATTTTCCTAATAAATCATAATATTTTTTTTAACATAATAGCAGTAATATAACATGCATTGTTTAAAATGTAAATGCAATATATCCTCAATTTTTGTTATAGCCATTCATGCATATTAAAAAAAACATCATTTTTAGGTTATTAAATAATTTAATTTTTTGACAGTCAACATTTGAACTATTTTTTCTTTTATAGGTTGAAATGTCAACTTTAAGATATTGTGTGAAACATTTTTCCTTTAAATATTTTTTTGTTTTACATTTTTATAAAAAAGTGCATTTTTCTCATCTTGTTAGCTATATTTAGTTAACAAATTTAGTGTAATAATTTATATACAATTTGTTATAAATATATAACTACAAATATAAATTTAAAGATGTCAAAATATACATAAAAATTGCTTAATAATTTTTGTATACTTGTAAAAGTGATGAAAATGAATCCAGGACACGAAAGACTCATCTTGTGTAATAAGGGTGCCAAAAACTAAGGTTAATGATTTATGAGTTTATATCTTACAATTATTAATTCTTTGGAGCTGGTGTGATCAGTGTTAGACCCTTCTCGGTTATATGCTTCCAGAGTTAATGATAGTTCACTTTTCTGACTATTCAGTAATGGCTAACAAAGATTCTGATGAGCAAAAATAATTCTCTGTGAAGTAATGTTAAGATAAAAAATACATTGTAATATTTGAATTTACTATTAATTCTTGTAGCTATTGTAGCAATTGTCATTTTACATAAAAATGTCAACAAATTCAATTTTCTTTGTGCAAAGAGTTTGCGGGTTATCGCCATATCATGATTCATTGCTAATATCAATATTTTGTGAACCTTGCCGTTCTCTTCATCAGAATGAAGAGCGTATTAATATATATACATCAATATCAATATTAGTATGTCCTCGTCTTGATAAGGAAAATAAAATTTTTCCATTACCTTTCTATTTTCTATTATTTTCCAGAAAGAAAATAGAATTTTTTGACATTTTTATGTAAATTGACAATTGCGCAAATCTTTTGGCACATTTGAAGAAACTACTTGCGAAAGCCTCAACAGTATTATCAATTTTTTTTGTGTTATATCTACAAATTTGAATTATTCTTATTAAAACTAAACTTATTTTTTTTATATATATATTTATTCTTTTTTGTTTATGTCATTTTGAAATAAATTAATGATTTTTAATCAACATGTATTAAATATGAATAGTTTTCACAGATCCAATTGTCAGTAATTGTTATAGATTTTGACGTTAGCTTCGAAGGATTAAGATGCTTTGCTTAAAAATTGGTTACAAATTCCATTCCTTGATGCTATGTCATGCAAAGCTGCAATAATGTAGCTGTACTCGATATTTTGATTTATGTTTTTCATAATATACACTTATTGTGGAAGGATATGAAAGAATGAACCTGCATTTATATCATTTGAGTGTATATGTTTACGTATTTCTCATTTTGTATTATTTTGGTTGTGTGGCGACATATCATTTTAAATCTATCATATAATATTTAGTTTTTATCATATTTAATATGAATAGTAGTTTAATATGAATAGTATAATAGCATTTTTCTAACATCATGAACATTTCTTAAGCATATTCTCCAGTGGAGAGTAATAAAAGATATGTCTATTTTTTTTTATGTTTCATAAGGTGCATACATTCTAAGAAAACATGCCTCTGTTTGGAAAGTCTCAAAAGAGTCCAGCAGAAGTTGTGAAGGCCCTCAAGGAGGCGGTAAATGCATTGGAGCGCGGCGACAAGAAGGTAGAGAAGGTATGTTGTTGCGGATACACATTGGTTTCTACGATGAAATACATCCCCTTTTAGGCGCAAGAAGATGTAAGCAAGAATCTAGTGCACATCAAAAACATGTTATACGGCACGGCTGAGACAGAGCCACAGGCAGACATCGTGGTGGCACAGCTGGCGCAGGAATTGTATAACAGCAATCTACTACTTCTGCTTGTGCAAAATTTAAGTCGCATTGACTTTGAGGTACGCTGTCAATATACGTGAAATAGATCCAAATAAATCAAACGAATATTTTTTGTGGCAGATAGAAAGATGTATGTATGCGAATTTGTTACTAAATGTTAGAATATTTATTAGAGCGCGCCATTAAAGTGCTCGCCCAAGGTGTAAGAAAGAAAATCTAATTTTTAAGTAATATTTAATATTATTCAAGTTGTTTTAAGACACATCCCATATTTATCATAATAATAATATAATTCAGAAATTATTGAAAATTATTGAATTAAAAAACTAAACATAAAAAAAGTAAAAATCTATTTTAAAATACATTTTTACAATCTTCCATAGTTATTACATCAAAATTGGAAATTAATTAATTTAAAATTAATATTACAAAATTTTTATAATTCAAAACATTCAAAATTTGTTTTTAGAGTTGAGTTATAGCAAATTAGTGACATTAAATAATATTTAAATAATATTTAATAAAATAATTTACAGCTTTGTGTTTTATTTAATTTGTTAACGCGTCATTAACGATTGTTATGAATTTAATCTTTCTAATTAAGGGAAAGAAGGATGTCGCACAGGTCTTCAATAACATTTTGCGAAGGCAAATTGGAACTAGATCACCCACCGTAGAATACATATGTACCAAACCTGAAATTCTTTTTACACTCATGTCTGGGTAAGTCTCTTTTTTCTTTATGCTATATTAATAGAATAATAAAAATATGTTACTATTATTGATTGCACTTTTGTCTTGCAGTTATGAGCACCAAGACATTGCACTCAACTGTGGCACAATGTTACGAGAGTGCGCAAGATATGAAGCCCTGGCCAAAATCATGATCTACTCGGATGACTTTTATAATTTTTTCAGATATGTTGAAGTTTCTACGTTCGATATCGCATCTGATGCTTTCTCTACGTTTAAAGTATGTTATGTTCTACAACGCGAACAAGAAGCATGTGATGTTTTTCTTTGTTTATTTACATTTATTATTCACAATTTATTTTGTTCTTTTACTAAAAATATTTAAATATTTACAAAAACCGTTTTAGTCGCTATATATGTATTAATATTATGTTGTTTAATGTAATTAAGTGATTTATAATTTTGTCCAGGAATTACTCACGAGGCACAAAATACTCAGCGCCGAATTTTTAGAGATACATTACGATAAAGTTTTTTCACACTATCAGAGGTTACTCAATTCAGAAAACTATGTAACACGACGACAGAGTTTAAAACTGTTGGGCGAGCTATTACTCGATAGACACAATTTTACAGTAAGTATCTGGCTTTGTCTTAAGCGATATCATTTATATAATTATACAAAAAAAATTTTTAAACAGATCTCTAATAGCGTTTTCTCTTGAAATACGTTGGGTGCAGCCTCTCATCGCACCAATTGCGTGTATGCGCTACACTCAGTTACACTACACTAGAGTGATATACACCATAGGTCAATAATACTGTCAATATTAACAAATACTAACAATATTATTAATTGTGTGGTTAATATTGATGGATTGACGTAGAATATATAGATGGTGATCTGGATTTTGATTCTTGAGCATCAGTATCGTTTTATTAAAATCCAGTGCATTAAATCACAATGCAATAGATATTATACATAAAACTAAAGTGAAATATATTGTTAGTAATATTAATAATGTAATTAAAAATACTAAATATTATATATTAATGCGTACTAGTATCAGTTTTACTGATTCAATATTACCGATTAGTATTATTGATCGTGTAAAGTCAATCACCTCATGATGTACATTACATCATTATTATGCTAAAACTCTATTCCCGTTTGACTTCCATTTTCAAATTTTAAATGTTACACTGGTTCTATACTGTCCCTTTGAGACTGTGTAGCAAAATCCCACTTCGTGCATAAAATTTGCATTACACTTAGTCACGGAAACATGGTACACTATCGAGTATTGCACTAGTGGGCGATGCCAAGAGAAAACGGTACAAGAGTATAAATTAATTTTTTTACACGTACACATAAATATTCAGTTGCTGGAAGTATTACCAAATAATATACTAAATATTATACTTCAGCTGTTTAATAATTATAGGTAGTATATTTTTTTCTAGAGAAGGAATATACAGGATGTCTGGAAAATTTTTGGCAAAGTACTCGTGTGTAGATAGAGCGGACTAAACCGAGTCGAAAAGTCTTCTACCATTTTGCAATTTTCGTAATAGTTAACAAGATACTAATTACTAAAAATCGCTAAATTTTGGTCTTAAATAATTTTTTACTCATCAACTTGACAAAAAAACAGCAAGAAACAAAAATTTATTTTCTTCTCATAAAGTTCTGAAAATTTTTTCAGAATTTTTCAGAATTTTTTAATATCATTTTCTCATGTTAAAAATAAAAAAATGTAGTACTAAAAACTTGATAAAAAATTCTGAAAAAATTCTTGGAGTTCTATGAGAAGAAAATAAACAATTTTTATCTTTCACAATTTTTCTGTAAAGTTGATAGTGGTTAGAAAAAAATTATTGAAAACTAAAATTCGGCAATTTTTAGTAATTATTAGGTGTTGGAATTAATTCGTAGCGTTTTACAAGAGATGGGAAGTACTTTCATTAATGTATTTTTTAATGCTCATGTGAAATAAATAACATTCTTTCATTAAAAAACGCTACGAATTAATTCCAACACCTAATAATATTTTGTTTTAATTTGCGAAAATTACAAAATGTAGAGGACGTTTCGACTCAGTTTAGTCCGCTCTACACACGAGCGCTTTGTCAAAACTTAACAGACATCCTGTATATATTTTGCTGGTACATGCTTCTCGATAAATAGTCAATATATAAAATATTAATAAAATAAAAAATTTAAGAAATAAGCAATAATTTGTTTAAACAAAAATTCTTAATCCCCTAGCTCGCTATTGTTATTTTTAATGATCTTCTCTTGATGTGCTACATCTCTGAATTGAATGTATACTTTTTAGCTTAAAACATATGAAATCTATGCTTCAAAATCAAACTAAGATAGATAAATATGAATTACAAAAATATTTTATTTTCAATTAATTATAATAAAAAGTTCAAAAGATTTTTATTGGAACAATTTGTAAAAAATAGTTATTTTTGCAATTCTCAAATTTGTAAATTTAAATTTTAAATCAAAAATCGGGTTTTTTAATTTATTCTTTAGATATTTAACAGATAGAAGGACTCTTCATATAAAAATTAAATAATAATAAAGGGCAAAGTAAGAGTCACATTTAAAATTTAACACAATCAAATAGAATAAGATACAAATAAAGAAAACAGTCTAAATTCAAATATGAAACATGTAATTAATTAGAAAATTAAACAGATTATCGGATTGAGCCCTCTTCAGATATTTACTTGTCAAGAGTAGATCGAGAAAGATCTATGTACAAAATTAGTTATCGAAAATACTCGCATATTCCTTATAATATTAGCTCAAGTGAGTCTTCATGTAGAACTCAACATTATTCGCATACAATTGGACAGTCAAATGTGTTCAATGTTTTTTGGAAGTCTAAGCAATAAATAAGATAAAAAAAAATTTCTTACGAAATACTAAAACACATTAAAGTAACATACCGGAATTTTAATAATTCATCAAAAGCCATGTGTAAATTATTCGAACAAGTTCGTCCATATAAGTATAAAAACCAATTAAAGTCCAAATAAAAAGAAGTATAGCATTAAGTTTCGCAATAAAATTGAGCTGTATATAATGTATACAGTCTAATAGAACACTGATATGTAAGACAGACATTGTGTGTCGATTATAATGTACACTCGCTGATAGACAACATGGACTGATCAACATGGACTGAGAGAGGAGATGGACTGTCAGTATCGAAGAATCAAACTTTATTTACAATAGGTATATATGCCTTATGGAGACCTTCAGTTTCTAAATTTAGACTATTTCTCTGCTTTTTAATATTGATCTCAGAAATTAAGCTTTCTTATAGCAAGGCTCTTTATTCAAAATTTTAACGTTGTCCCGTTGAAAATCATGACCATACTGCAATCTGTGCTCAGTTATGACAGAGGGGCAGACAATTGAAAACCAGAATTAAAAAACACACACACACACACACACACACACACACACACACACACACACACACACACACACCGTAATCATATTAGACAACACTTCTACCCATTCTGTCATAACTGAGCACAGTATGATTTCCAATGGGACAATGTTAAAATTTTGGATGAAGAGCCTTGTTATAAGAAATGCTTAATTTCTGAGATGTTCAATATTAAAAAGCAGAGAAACAGTAAATTTACAAACTGACACTGAAGGTCTCCATAAGGCATATATACCTATTGTAAATAAAGTTTGACTCTTTAACGGACTGACAATCCGTTCTCCTCTCTCAATCCATGTTGATCCGTATCAACGAGTGTACATTATAATCGACACACAATGTCCGTCTTACATATCTGCGTTTTATTAGACTGTATACATTATATATGACTCAATTTTATTGTGAAACTTGACGCTGTACTTTCTATTTGGTTCTTTTTATTTGGACTTTAATTGGTTTTTATACTTATATGGACGAACTTGTTTGAATAATTTACATATGGCTCTTGGTATGGCTTTTTAGTTAGAATTCCGATATGTTACTTTAATGTGTTTTAGTATCTTGTAAGAAGACTTTTTTTTATCTTATTTATTGATTAGATCTTTTTCCAAGAGACATTGGTCACATTTGATTGTCCAATCGTATGCGAACAATGTTGAGTTCTACTTGAAGACTCACTCGAGTTGATATTAAAAGGAATAAGCGGGTATTTTCGATAACTAATTTTGTACATCAATCTTTGCGATAAGTAAATGTTTGAAGAGGGCTCAATCCGGTAGCCGAAACCTGTTGTTTAATTTTCTAATTAATTAATGTTTTATATTTGAATTTAGACTGTTTTCTTTATTTTTATTTTTCTTTATTTGTATCTTATTCTATTTAATTGTATTAAATATGTTTGACTGCCCTTTATTTATTGTTATTTAATTATTCTTTAGACTAACAAAAAAAAAATAGTACAACATGAATTGCTCAAAAAAATAATTATTTTAAGTATCGAAAATCGAATTTTTACAAAATCTATATATCATGATTTTACAATTTAATGAATAAAATTTTATTATTTAGAACTATCTACAAAACTACCTATCAGTAATTGTGCTTCTTTTATCTCTTGATTTCAATAGAACCGAGATTAATAGTTTGATACAGCTCGGTGAAGTGATAGTAAATTGAGCCCAGCCGATTCCTCAAGACTAATAGGCCACAAAATTTCTACTAATTATACATGCCAAAATTATTATAGTGACTTCAGCATATAAAAACGAGTAAAAAATATCTAATAAACATATATCCAATTTCGAACAGTTTCAAAGTTATGAGATATTGAAGTAAGAAAACATGAATCGTACAGTAAATGTTGTTTAATATTTGTTATTCTGTTGTTATAAATCTTTTTCTGATAGACTAGATCTTTCATTCATCCCCAAAATGTAAACAAATAGACGTTAAGGATGACTTCCTGTGCAAACGTTTCTCCATGATCACTATCCTCATTGGATTGGAAAAGACTAGGACGCTCCTATTAAATGGCCAGCGAGAAGTCCCAATCTCACATCACATGAATTTTTTTCTTTGAGGACGAATAAATCAGGAGACAACGGTAGTGTCTCGGCGCTAAGCCAAGCGTCTAGTCTACCAGAATGAGATTCAGAATGCAGAATAGTTATGGCAACTAATATTTAACGTTACTGATATCCGCGAAACTCCAAATATTTGTCACCAAATTCGAAACAATTTATTAATTCGTGCTAGAGAGTGTGTCGAAGTCGACGGAGGAATTTTTGAACATCTTTTGTAAAGCATTAAATAGAATAACGAACATTAAACAACATTTACTATAATTCATATTTTCTTACTTTAATATCCCGTAACTCCGAAACTATTCGGAATCGGACATATATTTATTGGACATTTTCGATTTGACAATAAATGAAAAAAACGAGTAATTAAGAACCTAAATTCGTAATAATTGGAGCGATTATATCAACATATATTTCTCAATACTACATATATACATATATATATATATATATATATATATATATATAATATATAATATATATAAAACAAATACCGAACGTTTCGGTTTAATTCAAGCCATCTTCAGCAGTCTAGTATAATAAAAACTCTTGATAAATAATTCGAGACATCTTGGTAGTCTCGTATAATACAACTTCCTTAATACAATTCAAGTAGTCGTAAATCAAAGTAATCGAGTGCAGTAAGGGAGTCTTCCAGATTATCAAATAGTATGTAACCATTACGGCTATTTAAAAAAAAATTATCTCAATATATAGGATGTCTCTGCATATAGTGTTTCGGAAACGTCTTGACATCAGCTTTAAGAATATGTATTAGGTGTTGGAATTAATTCGTAGCGTTTTACAAGTAATGGGAAGTACTTTCATTAATGTATTTTTTAATGCTCATGTGAAATAAATAACATTCTTTCATTAAAAACGCTACGAATTAATTCCAACACCTAATAATAGAAAAAGAGTTTCCATTTAAGATTTCAAAGTTGACTTTCACGATGTCCTTCAAGGTCACATGAAAGTCATTTCAATATAACCATATAATAGATCACTTGATATACTAAAACTTTTGTATTGAACATTTTCTTCTATAATCATTATTTTCCAAGATATTTGACCGTTACGGAACTTTCTCCCATTACTGTATATGTAGTAGAGAGAAATATATGTTGATGTAATTACTACGAATTTAAGCTCTTAATTATCCGTTTTTCATTACTGTTTAGTTTTTATCTCAAGAGCCTAACTTTAATTATTCATTTTCGACTGTTTTCATGTGCTAAAGCCGCTGTAGCAGTTTTGGTACTACATGCAGAGACATCCTATATATTGAGATAATTTTTTTTTAAATAGACGTAATGGTCAAAGCTAGGTCTTTAAATGCTTAAATAATTCACTCTGAATATATTATATATTGGGTCATCTAAAAAGTATCCGCGGTTTTTTGTCACTAGATGTGTACTGATGGTCATATATCTAGTGACAAAGTACCGCGGATACTTTTTAGATGACTCAATATAATACACTATATATACTATACATATACTTGCATATGCTGGGTGTCCCAAAAAGAACACCTGAATATCTCGAAACATATAAGAACTGTAACTTTCAAGCCTTATAACTTGAAAAGTACTTTGTGAAAAATAATTTTATTGTAATTTTGGAAAGTTCTTGACACCAGCTATTATATTCTGAAATCAAAAGGATGTCCCATATTAAAAAATCGATGTGACATACAACTTTTATCTGAAATACTTTTCTGTAAAATTTTTATTTTCCGAGATATTCAGGTGTCCCGATCTTTTTGGGACATCCTATATACCATATTTATAGTCATTTATAGTCATTCGAACTGCGCGCGCCGAATTTTTTTCCGGACTTATAAACACAATTACTATTGTAGTAATATCGCGAATTAAATTAACAAGCAATTTTAATAATTCAATGCTTAATTAGGCATCATATTAAAAAGTTAATATGCTGTAAATTAATTTTATTGTTTATATCTTCTTATTGTTTATATTATGTCGCCTGAAGGAAAGACATTTCCATACATATACTAATTATTGCGAAGAATACTAAGGCCTCGGTAATCTAAAGGCTTAAAACGCTCGTACGAAATACAAGAGATTCGGGTTTGACTTCCGGCCAAAGTAATATTTTCGCAATAAATTTTTTTACAGTTTTTCGGCATATTGACATCTTTTTAATATGTCTGATTAAGCATCAAATTATTAAAATTGCTTATCAATTTAATTCGTGATAATATTACAGTAGTTTAATTTATAAGTCCTCGGAAAACTAATTCGGCGCGCAATTCGAATAAATGTGGTATATATGCAAGTATATGTATAGTCACCGACGAGATATTATTAAAGACCGTCGGTCCTGGGCAAATTTTCGTGACTATCAATGGGGCCCGGAGATAATTAAAGAATGATGACGTTATCGACAATTAATAAAAATTTATGATTATTAATATAAATATTTCATTAATACATTATTAAATTCGTGATTTTTTATTATATAAATAAGTAAGCACACTTTTAATGCTATAATATCTTATATATTGCCGAAAAATTACAATTTTTTCTCTGCAGTTATCATCTCTATTGATAATTAAACTCGAATGATAACATTAAAATCACAGTTTTAAATAAAAATCGAGTATTATTAAATTTTTAACATATGTACACACATGTCTACGAAACTAATAAATCATGAAATTAGTACCGTATTATTAATTTCTTACTCTTAATCACTTAAATTTTAACAAGCAAACTTCCATAAGCGCCGTCTTTAATAGTATCTCATCGATGATATAGTATATATATATATATATATATAGTAATTCAGATTGAATTATTTAAGCATTAAAAATCTAGCTTTGACCATTACGGCCATTACTTTTGTTTCTTATTGTTCATTTTCAAACAATTCAGTAAAATTCTTAATTTTTTTTTATTCTACAATTTCATGTATTTATGGTAAATGTTAAGTTTAATCCTCCTCACGTCCAATCTTGATGAAACCAAATTTATTTGACGGATCTTTACATAAAATGGTAAATGTTAAATTTAGCTACCCCCCCCCCCCCCCCCCCTCACATTCATTATTTTTATTCAACCCGAAATTCGGTAAACATATATTTAATAAAAAATGAAAAGATATCCAGAACACCGAAAACGAACTAGCCACACATGGCCTCATTCCTTCGTCGAATTTTCGTGTTACTACTCTTACGTTGAGAGTGACGTAAAAAAAAATTGTCTGCAGGCTTATCGCGCGTATCTATGGATAATTAAAGTTTTTCCATCTAATATTACACCAGTACATACCGATATATACCACAAAATACAAGATCTATAGAAAATTCGTTCTAATTATGACAATTGTTTGCGTTCGGAGTACAAGTCTTAATATAATCCCGGTCTTTATACAAAAATTTTTAAATGTAAACCAAGCAATTTAAATGTGGTAGTGATAATTTTATTATACTGATGATGACCTGATGTAAAAAGGTCGAAACGTTTGTATGTATTTATAATTGTTTATTCCACAATAAACATATAATATTGTATAGCAAGTTTGGCTTCTTAGCCTTTTTACGTTTTGATAATTTGAAGTTTTTTCCTCAAGCTGAATTCTACGATTCTCTTCAAATTATTCGAATGACTACAAATGTGATATTATATATATATATATAAATTCTTTAATACTTAAATAATTCATATTAAATTAAAAATCCAGCTTTGACCATTAATTTCAATTAATTGTGTTCTCACATGTATGCTAAAATAAGATTTTTCAAATTATATTAGGAAAAAGTTATAACAATGTGTGAAAATTGCATATGATACATTGTATCTTAAGATGGCGGGCTAGGGTTAAGATATTCTCATTTGTATTTGTATTTTTTTGTCAAAAGTGTTGTTAGTAGAAATTGCAATCAAGTTGCTTACTATCGATAATTAGAAATATATTGCAATATTTATAGTAGTAAGAATACAAGTAGAAATTTTTGTCTATATTTCCTGATGACTTGAAATCTTAATGCTTCTTTCATTGCATTTGTGAGAAGCTGTTGACAAATAATAGCAATCTGTATTAAAATTAGTTCTCATGTTAAAATTGTTATAGGTTATGACACGATATATATCAAATCCAGATAATTTAAAATTGATGATGAACATGCTGAAGGAAAAGTCTCGCAATATACAATTTGAGGCTTTTCATGTTTTCAAGGTATGATAGTGCTCAATATTGACGTGAATTTTCAATTCACAATTAATACTAAAATATCTTAGTTTTTCAATACTTGATACATTACAGTATAAAATTCATTTTTCTCAAGTTTAAGTAGTCATTTAAAAAAAATACATAAAAAATGATTTTACCAAAAGAGAGAAGATAGATTAAAACGAATTTCATTCCTTTGGAACCAAAACGTATGATTTGAGTTATACAAGTATCAATTATTAACATTAATGTCATTAAACTAAATAAAAATAACTAGTTTTATTAAATCTGCGCATTAAGTTCTGTGCAGATTCCCACGGCCTTATTATTATTTTTATTCATTCCTTCTGATTGTGTCTAGGTATTTGTGGCGAATCCCAACAAACCAAAACCTATTCTAGACATATTGCTCCGCAATCAGGAGAAGCTGATAGAGTTCCTGACGCGCTTCCACACGGATCGTTCCGAGGACGAGCAGTTCAATGACGAGAAGGCGTATCTGATTAAGCAGATCAAAGAACTTAAGTCTGTACATGATAATTAAGTCAAGGAAATACAATTATTGCTACCGCTACGACTAACTACCATCATTGAGTGCTTTCCAGCAATGTTTACAAGTGACACTGTGTAACACAGGGTGCGCTTCCATGCTTTTTAATTGTGACACAAACATACAGCTAAGATGCTGTGTTCGACTATGTCAATTTATATCACTTCATAATATCAAATTTTTATATTTCATTATCATTTCCTAGAAGTAATATTTCAATAAGAGGTGTTGTATTAAGTTTAAGATTATATTCGGATATAAATGATATGAAAATTTTTTCTTTATTTCATTCTGATGGTGAAATAAAAAAGCTAAGCAATGGATGCGTTCAGCAAAGAAAATTAATCAGTTAGCGCTGAATGATTCTTTAATATGATTGGTTCTTGCTTTAGTTTTTCGCTGAATCTAAGTGTACAAATCAATCATATTAAAGAATCATTAAGCACTGATTAATTTCCTCTGTTGAACGCAACTAATATTTCAGTTATAAGTCGACACTCTGTATTACTGTGTCATACAGTGTATAATTGTGTTTCATTGCTAGAAAGCACTCGTTACTAGAATCTACTGCTGCTGTTGCTAATTACGGTTTTATCACTATTATATAATTATAATTCATCATCATCATCATCATCATCATCATCATCATCATCATCATCATCATCATCATCATCATCATCATCATCATCATCATCATCATCATCATCATCATCATCATCATCATCATCATCATCATCATCATCATCATCATCATCATCATCATCATCATCATCATCATCATCATCATCATCATCATCATTCATCATCATTCATCATCATCATCATCATCATCATCATCATCATCATCCTCATCCTCCTCCTCATCATCATCATCAATCATCATCAATCGTCATCGTCATCGTCATCGTCATCGTCATCGCCATCGTCGTCGTCGTCATCATCATCATCATCATCATCATCATCATCATCATGATCATCATCATCATCATCATCATCATCATCATCATCATCATCATCATCATCATCATCATCATCATCATCATCAACAACAACAACATTATCATCACTGTCATCATTATTGCCATCATCATCCCAGCATTATTATTATTATTATTAATTTTATTTGTGAGTAAGTAATTTACTGTGTAAATAAAAATTACATTTATATCTTATTGTACTATACTACATATAATATATAATCAATTGAGTTGTCATCGTTCTACCACGTTTTTAGGAATGAGTCGGTTATTAAAATAGAATGAAAATAATTGTTTCTTGATTTTTGTGGTTTTATTTGATATTGTCAGCTTCTTCGTTTGTAGTTTTATCATATTTAAAAAATATCTTACCGTCATATTTTAAAATTGTTGCAAATATGTATAAGTATTTTTCGAAACATTTATTTCTAGTCCTCGCATTTTTTAATTGTCTCTTTAAAAAGTTCAGATTTGTAGCTTACATTTTTACGATTTAAATCTACTAAGCATTGGTTAACATTCAGACCGATACTATGCAAACAGAATTTTTTAAATGTAACAAATATATATAATTTACCAACTTTGATATATCATGTGCAAATTCTTTTAACAATAGCTGTAACGGCAATACTCATGTCGGTAAACAGACGCGGTTTCTGCATTGCTAAATTATTTCGATCAGGTTCACAATTGGGATATAATTTCTCTGGGTCCTTAAATTTTTGGAGTTTTACCACTATGGCATCCTTCAAGACTTTTTGTTGAATATTTTTCATTAGATAATTTGTTTGTGGACACATTGATATAGCCTGAAAAAATATTGAAAAATATATAAAAATAGGAAGAAGTCAAAGAGTAAAGCTATACAAAAAATTATCCAAAAGTATATAAAAAATTATTAAAAAGCTTAAAGAATTTGAGACTAAAAAATTTAATCCTCAACTACATGAATGGATCATTTGGACCAGGGTGAAAATTTTAGTCGGCTGCTATTTTTGTACAGTTAATATTGCAGAGTTGAAGTGACTTAGACCCATCAAATATAAATTCGACAGATTTTAGCCGAAAATGAAAATTTGTTTTTAGAAGTGCCTGTTTATTAGTACTGTATTCGTGTTGTCTTCTTAAAATTAAAACATATATTCATTGTCAAAAAAAAGTATTTTTATGAAAGAGGCATCTTGACAAAGATCGCTCTATTTTCTCAGAGTTATACAATCGTGAATAAACAGTGTTGAAATCATATATTTGATATAAAATATTTTCATTACATTTTTAAAGAAGAAAATACCCAACATATCTCTGATATCATTATTCAGAGCATGTATAAAAATGTCCCTGTTTCACTCGTACAAATAATTATACTTTTTGGAATGAATCAATATAATGTATTTTTTCTTTTTTGAAGATCACATTTTTTCGAAACACTATTTGTTTTTATTTGTACTTTTTTATCAGATATGATTTTTTGGAAAAAAAAAACTACTACTTGTACTTTTCACAAATTTTTAAAAATATTTTTTGGCATAACTTTTTCAATTATCAAAATTTTTTTATGTTTTGATATTTTGATTCTGTATAGTCTAGCATTTTATTAAAAAAAATATATATATATTTTCCATTGAGGATTTGTGATAATTACAGAGCTATTTAAAAACACTGTGATTGACTTAGACCCAGACATGTAAAAATTGAGACTCTTCTAAAATAGTCTAAAACGAAAAATATAGTTGAGGGTTAAGAATATAAAAATATATATATGATACAAGATGACGAGTGCTATAAAATTTAAGAATTTAGAAATTATTCTTTGCTTAATTTAGCAAGCTGTACCTTTGCGTAATCTTCATTCTGGCTAAGCAACCATATTAAAGTAGCACAATGCAGAAATACTTCCTTATCTTTCAGTGATCTGTTTAAAAGCTTTACTAATGCCAATGCATATTCTTTCTAAAAATTAACATGAAATATTTTTTTATTAAATGATATGTTGAATATACACACACACACGCACGCACACACACACACACACACACACACACACACACACACACACACATACACACACAATGATAGAAGGAAGATAAAATCATCGGCTTTTTCTACCTTAAGGACATATTTTTTCGTGTAGGAGTACTTCGACAAGGTAATTAAAATGCTGCATGCTCGCAGACAGACTTTCATCCACGGTAGTGATCTGTTGTTTTGCACTATTGTATTGTAAATGTCGTCGGCTAAGTTCAGCTCACAGAGAATAATACAAACGGTTGGAGACAGTATCGTTATAGTATCTGTGTATAATGAATATAAATTTTATAAATCATTTAAATAAAATAAATTCAAGATTAATAAAAATGAAGATAAGAGATAAAGTTGGTAAAGAAATGAAATATTAAATTTATTCGGAACAATATGAAACGTTTCAATTTTACTTACAAGGAAACACAACCGAGAATCTTTTCGATTTAAATGAATTTTTAGTATGTTGTTCTATGAACAAAAATAGGAGACACGTATTTTTTTATATGCTGAGTCGCACGTTAAGAAGGTGAAATTCTCTCTTGAAAATAATCAATTTTTTCTTTCAGATTGAATGTCGTCAAAAAAAATTTGCAGAATGAAAATTGAAAGATATCAAGAGTATTTTAGAACTACAATAAACATTTTTTTTATAAATAAATAATTTTTATTATAAATTTAAAAAATATTTTGTATTATATTATAGTTCTAAAGTACTCTTGAAGCCATTCGATTTTCATTCTGAAAATTTTTTTCTATCTCTTACAGTTTCAATGATATTCAATCTGAAAGAAAAAACCGATTTTTTTCAAAGGAAGATTTCACCCCCTTAACGACTCAGCATATATAAAAAAAATATGTCGTATATCTCCTATTATTGTCCATAGAACAACATATTAAAAACTCATTTAAATCGGAAAGATTCACTTGTTCCCTTATTAGTCACTTAAATCATTTTCAGTCATAATAACGAAATTGTTAAAACGAAAAAATTGAAATAATTGATTAGAGTGTTAATAAATAACAAAATTAAAATGTTAAAAATAAATATATAAGAGGACTTTTGACAACAGCTTCTTATGTGCTTATTTTATAACGTTTTAATTGATTTTGTTATTCATTCGTATTGCAATCAATCTTGTAAGTTTATTCTAATTTTGAAAAAACGAAAGTTGTCAATTATATAATTCCACTGAAGTTTTAAATTTAAATGAATTGTCATAATTTACAATTTTCGTCATTAACAATTTTCGTTTTTTCGATATGACTCGTGCTTTGCGGAGCTTCGATACGCTGTTCATTGCTACCTAACTTTTGAACCATGTGTCAACAGGAACGATTTTGAATTATTACTCGTCCTCCGTTTTACATGAGGAGGTAGAATTTTCATTTGACATAATAGAGATGATTCGAAGTACAGCCGAAACGTCTAAATCAGCTTTGTTATAAATAAATAATATAAAAATTATTTTGCATTGATTACCGCGTTAAAACTCTTATTAGCCCTTAATTACTTTTGTTATTGTGCCCTAGTATAGCGCGCAAGAATAAAGTCTTATACTAAGATAGCACAATTTACAATTAGATATGTAGTTTTATTTTAGCTAGTTGAACAACTGATACAAATGTAAACGTTAATTGTTTCAAGAATTGTCAAAAATTATTTTTATTATAATTTCTTTTATTATTATTTAAAAGTAAGATTTTAGTACCAATGTTAGCACAATTTTAAAAAATTGAAAAAAACGCAAAAGGAAGAGGCTGATTTAAAAATCATTTTAAGAACTTTGTTAATGTATCTCTCATATTACAATTTTAATATTCGGGCACAATATAGCACAAATCTAGCATAATTCTCAAAATAAGTAAATTCTAAAAATAAGGGGCTATAAGTTCATATAGGTTTTATAAATTATTTATTTCTTACTGATATCATTAAGAAAAAAAATTCATTATTTAGAAAATGATATATAAGAAACAGAATTAGAAAAATAAATTTTTTTCTTCATCCAAACTCTTTTTTGTCTT